CAATTCCAACAAAATTCCTTTTTTTTTTTTTTTTAACATGTTTAAAAAAGGCACGAAATAGGTTGTGAACTTTTTGGGAAAACCTGTATTATGCCTTCAGCATCACTGGAAAGCATCAAGAAGAGGAACTTACTAGGTGTGGTTAACGGTAATGGAAAATACTGTTTTGACTAAAACTAATTTAACCCTTCTCATTTAGTAATGCAGCTACTTTTACTGATTTTTTCCCCCCTGCAATGGGCTTGTGTTCACAGGACATCTATATTTTCAAACACTGAAAGAAATGTTTCTTTTTTAATCTAGAAAGACCTTCTCACACAGCTCACAATCATGTGTGATACAAAATAAAGCTTTATGGCTTATAAACAGTGTAGTTCATGCTCACGTTTTGTAGGAAGATGTCAATTCCAGTGGCACAGATGTCCCGAGGTTCAAAGGAGGTTGGTATTCAGGCTCCACTAGAATGCACGCTTGCCACACAAAACACTTCACTGGTTACATATACGATAAGTGAACGTGGGAAGAAGTTCAGATGAGGTAGCAGACATGAAGGAAGAGTAGGAATAAAAACATCATTAAGAGGTCGCACACAACGCAGGCCCTTTTTCAAACACTCTTGGATGAAAACACTATCCCTCTCTATATCTATTCCATTTAAGTGTTCAGAAACTGGCAGGGAAACAAAGTTCTGGTATTCTGAATACTGCCAAAGTTCTTTTGACTATCATGTTTACATGAATTGCACATTTATTTGAGCTCTTAGTTCTGAATACAAGCGAAATGTGTCAGAAGTAATGCACTGATCAATTTGAATAATTAGAACTAATTAAAACATGCTCATCTGACCTTTAGTACCCAGGGGAGCAAAATGAAGTAAAGAGCTTTCCTTTTAACAATTTGTGTTTGGTTGCTATTTATGCTCTTATAAGGAGTATTATGAAATGGAGAATCCACTGCTCTTTCTGTCTTGCTAGTTTTCCTGGACGGAGTGCCAGATGCTTGGAATTATCAGCATAATTTCTCTAAGTTTTTCAGTTCAGATATGATCATTAGAAGGAACTTATCAAATCCCTCCCCTTCAGTGTACTTATAAAGTGTACCCATCACTCAGGATCAAGGCTTACATATTTGATAAACTTTATAACCGACATCTGTAGATACCTATAAGATTACATATTGAAATATTAAAAAATTCATGTTATATTACAGAGATCATTTTGATCCTTAAACAAAGGCCTACAGACCCCGAAATTTCTGTGTATATATCCAATTTTCATACAGATGCAATATGTATGAAAGTACATACACTCTTAGAATCAAAGCGAAGATTTTTCCATGTAAAAGGTCGCTATTAATAGTTTAATTTTTAATTCCCCTTGTGTGTCTAAGTTTTCTGTTTGCTCCTGCACCTATTCCTAAAAGGTTGTTAACGTTGTGCGTGACAAATTGAGTCCTAGAGGGGCAGTTATGTCAAAGGATTATACCATTAGATAAGATAAGCAGCAGACTGGTAAAAAGATTTGTTTCGATATAGGATATCACTAGTAACAAGAAAGAAAAAGGCAAAATTGGATGAACTGATTTCTACAGTGTAAGTTGTCTGGGAACTATTTACATTACAATGAATTGGGAAAAAAAGCCTCAGAATTTCAACATACGCAATACAATTCTTGTTGTAGTGAGGCTCTGAAATTAATATTTTAAAACTAAAATGAAAGCTTTCCCCACCTCAGTGAAAGAAATCTTCATTCCATTATACTAGATGTCATCTTTTTAAGTAGTGTCAGAATGTTCAATTAGGTGGCCTGATTGGCTAAACAGTCTGAGGTACTTTTATTGTAATCGTAATACAAGTAGACCCTCTACAGAAATCATTTTATTCTATTGGATGACCAATGCATCAAGAACTTCCTAAACATTCCATGTAGTCTCAGATACCAATGTCAATATCAGCAGGTAGCCAGGGCTTCTGCTAGAAATTAGAAACAAGGCTTATTAGTTTTGTATTTAGCTGACATTTATTGAGTGCTGGTGTACTAAGTGCTTTACAGAGGCACAACCCCTGCTCCAAAAAGCTTACAATCTAAATCATGACTTGGGCAACATGTTCCAAACAAAAGATACGTAGGTTAAAAGGACCAATCTTCAAGCCATACATTTTTTAGTTACTATAACAATAACTGATCTTGTATGCTTAGCAATAATAAAGTCTCCTCACTTTATCCAATGAAGAATCTGAATATTTTATGAAACAGAACGATATTATGCATGAATAAACTGCCAACTTGCTTTTCACTACATCACTTAACTAGCACAAAACCCCAACAATCTAAACCAAAAAAAATTCCTCTCAAACTCCATGCTTCTGTTATGTATTGTAAACACGATACCAGTCAAGTATAACAAAAGTCTTAAAAAAAATAATAATAATAATATTAATAATGATAAAAAAAATAATCACAATTCAACTCCAGCTAGCAGAACTATGTTCTGAACTTTTTTGCCTGTATGGTGAAGTCTTTGAACATCTGACTGCAAACATCCCCAACAGGCTATCTCTAATAAAGTACCTAAAGCATATCCATACTATGCAATACTGCACAACTAGTAAACTTTTCCATTGCCAGAGTATGCCACTTTCTTTCTAAAGCTTCAGATCTAATAAAAAACAAACTCTGGAACTAGAAGGGACGTGGAAGCTGGTTATTAGATATCAAGCCATTCTGGCATCATTCAGCAGGCACTGAGAGACTATCTCTGGGGCCCTCATCTTCCTATAAACGCTGCATGGTGAATTCTTGCAACCAGAGACCATTGCACGATTGGAGCCTAGAGCAGTGGTTCTCAACCAGGGGTCCAGGGCCCACTGGGGGGCCACAAGCAGGTTTCAGGGGGGCCATGAAGCTGGGCTAACATTAGACATGCTGGGGCCCAGGGCAGAAAGTTGAAGCCTCACCGCTTAGGGCTGAAGCCTGCGGCCACAAGCCACTTCACAGGCCCCTCGTGGTATGGGGCCCAGGCAAATGCCATACTTGCTACCCCCTAACACTGGCCCTGGCTTTTACATACATAAAAGCAGTTGTTGTGGCACAGGTGGACCATGGAGTTTTTATAGCATGGGGGGGGGGGGAGGAAGAGAGGAGACCGAGGGGAAAAAAAAAGATTGAGAACCCATGGCCTAGAGCACTAGATGGGAGGTTGAAGGGGTGTTCTCAAGTCATTATGTAAAATATTTAACAAAAATACATTTAGATCTTTAGCAGGTTTAGTGATAACAGCACTTCATTTTGTAGCTTGAGTTTCAGTTAAATAACTCATTCATAAGCCGAATATTTTTGGTAAAAAACAACACATCAAAGAGCGGGGGTCGGCTTATAAACAGGGTCTATACCAAAATGTGATAATTTTAAACTCTATGGAATCATTGAATATCTAATACATTGTCGTTTTGTTTACTTGGAGCGTCTGCAGGCATGGAGCCCCTCAGCTCCCTGTGGCCGCAGTTCGCTGTTCCCAGCCAATGGAACCAGCAGAGGTGTAAAGGAAAGCTGCACTCTGGCTATTCTGTGGAAAGGGAAACTCAGTCTCCATGGCTGTAGCCTTTGGACTGGTCACAATCATTAAAGCCACTTGAAAAATGCCTGGGAGGCAGGACACGCATATCCTCCCCACCCTACTCCTTCCTGTGCATCATGAGTATGACACAGACTAATGGTGATACAGCACACACTTAACCCGGGAGCGAACTGCCACCTCATGCCCTGTGCAGTGGTTCCAAGAGCAACACGTGCAACAACCCTGCTACTCCTGAAAGCAGCAGCTGGCGAGTTACCAAAGCGCCGCTATGCCCGCGGGACAGGCAGTTCCCCAGACCACAATCCCAGAGCCTCTGCACATTTCTCCTGGAGCTAACACAGAGCTAACGCCCCCACCGACGTTGCGATCGGTAGGCTTCAGAGTCAACACGCTCCTGGAAGGAGCGGCTCGAACCTCGCCTATAGCTTCACTGACACTGGTTGCCAGCAAGCTCCAGAAGGCGCCCGCCCGGGCTCACAGCTGGGCAGGCCTCGCTCACCACCGGGGCTGCGGGTCCAATCCGCACGGGGCTGCGCCGACCGACTTACGCTGCCGTACCCGGCCACCTCCTGTACGGCCCCGCCTCCATGGCCCAGACATCACTGCGGGCTGCTGCCACTTCCCCCTCCTCACGGAGCTCCTCCTCCTCCGCCGCGGCCATGGGCTAGGTGAGCGGCTCCTCAGAGGTCCCTTCACTTCCGGGTCCGGCTTCGCCGAGCTTCCCCCTCCCCCCGGCTGCTGCGCCATCACCGCGCTAAGGGAGGGGAAACGCTACCCGCTCGCTACAGCCACCATCGCCTCCGGGCAGGAGAGAAGACGGAGCCTTCAGCCGGAAGTCCCACGGAGCCCATCCCCTAGCCCGAGACGAGGCAGAGCCCCCCGGGAAACGCAGAGACCACTCCCGCTCCCTTCCTCCCCGCCTAAAATGGGAAAGAGCATCGTACAAAATGGCGCCCGGGAGGCCTATTGCGGCGCATGCTCTGTACGGAGCTATGCAGCCGCCGCCGCCGCTGCAGGCCTCTCGCTCCGCCCACTCTCCATGTCTATGACACAGTCCACACCAATCACATCGCCCCGCTGCTCTTCCTGACCTCCGCGCTTGCCAATCATCGCACGCAAAGCTACATCCGGATCCAGTTCGTACCAATCAGCGTGAGGTGTACGATTACTTCACTTCAGAAATGTCCAATCGACTCGAGTTCCACCGATTCACCAATCAAAAGTCTCCGTTGCTTTACCTGCGTCGTCTGTTGACCAATCGGCTCTCACTGGTACACTGTGACCAATGGGAGGGGGCTGACCGCGGCGCCCAATCCGGGCAGGGTAGAGCCCCCTGGGCGTCACGAAGGGCCAATGGGAGTTCGAGCAGGGCAGCTACTGCTCAACAGCTTGTTATTTGGCTGATCGCTGGTGATTCGGTACGAGTCCGGGCTGGAAGGGGGGGGTGGAGCGGAGCTGACTCGAGCCGCCGCTGCCTCCGCCGCCGCTGCTGTCTCTGAGGCGCCTGCCGCGAGCGGGGCTGGGGGCCGGGCCGGGCTCGCAGCAGATCCCTACTTGGCTCTGAGTTTAAAGGTAGGGGGAAGGAGCAAGAGGGCAGTGAGCGGCTCAGCAGCCGCAACTCCGCTGCCGTCCCGGGGGAAGGGGGATCGGGATCCCCGAAACCCCTCACTCGGGGGATCGGGGCTCCCTCACCCAGTCACGGAGGAGGCAGCCCCCCCCCCATTCGGTTCCCCTCAGAGGGGGACTCGGACTCCTTTCGCCCGCCGAACTCCACCCCCCATCCCAGCGCGGTGACCGGCGCTTCCTCTCCTCCCTTCTCTGGCTGAGGACCCCTCTTCGCGGCAGGGAGGACGGGGACGTCTTCTCTCCCAGCCCGGATAGGGGAACGCCCCCGTCAGCCCTCTCGGGGCGGGGGGGGGGGGGGGTCGGCGAGGTTCCCCGT